GTGTTTTTCGGTATTTTAGATTGCTTTTGATTGTTCTAGACTCTTTTGTAAATTTTTTTTGAAGTTTATTTTGATTGACAGACAGTACTTGTTTTTTGGGCTTTAGGATTTGTTTGTTTGGTTTTGTCTCATTTATCCAGATATTCTATTTATAATATGAAGTATTTTTCGCATTAATTATATATTTTTTTAACCCGCCAACCCGCCATGTTTAAAAAAAACCTAAATTGGGCAGTTTGCAATCGTAAGTGAGAGCAGGTGCAATTTGCAATTTTATGAACCCGCCAATATTGGGTCGGGTTGATTTTTTTCAGAAACCCGCCCAAACCCGCCCGTGTTCACCCCTAAGCACAGTCACATAATAGTCATATACAAAACAAGTTAAACCGTGCACATATACCAAACATGACTGTTGTCCCAAAAATTGTTTGTATACAAAAGTAAATCTCCCCCAAAATACCATGGGAAACTAATTTGGATCTACGCGCATTAAAAATAGATTTGGATTTTTCCTACTGTACATACAAAATGCTTTCCAAAATATTAGGTTTAAGTTACACATACTAACCAGCGTCGAGCTTCATAATGTCACGAGGATTGGGTCCTCGTTTGCGTTTCGATGATGCTTTCTTCTTCATTTTCAGGATGTAGATTTTGAATGTGACTACTGGTACTCAACTCCTACCAGTATATGACTAGTAATGGGCGAGGTGATGGACGATGTTGTACCAAATGTGTTCGATTTGGTATGTGACTGCAGTTTCGAAGCGAGGGAGTTTTCGATTTTGGGGGAGATTTCACTTCTTTGCGTCTTCTTCAGCGTGATTTCTGTGATTTGATTTTTTTTGTTTTTTTTTATTTTTTTATTTAGGAGCAGTTTTTTTAGGGAAAGCATATAATTAATGCTAATTAGTCGGGATTTAGGCGCCCACGTTATTAGGGATTTCGAAAATACTGGATAATTATTAAAAAAAACGTGATAGTTGTTGCAATGGTAAAATTGTGAATAAATATTTTAGGGGTTTATCACAAAGGAAGAATTATGGTATGGACATATCACCATTTCTTATCTATAGGAGGGGGTTATTGCTAATGACCTCTAAGTTTAAAGGGTTTGTAGTAATTTTGTCATATTAATATCAAATTTAAAAGAGAAAAAAACAGATGCCGTAGATTAATATGGGCTCTTTGAGAAAACCCCCACATTACTTCTTTTAATAGGGAGAGACCCAAAATATTTTGCTCCATTTGAGAAAGTCCACACCCATTTTCAGCCATTATGTTTTCCAATTTTGCCCCCGCCCGCCACATCACCACTGCGTCACGCGGTGGTCATCAACGATTTTTTTTCTTTTTCTTTTATGTATCAGTTTTATTAATCGACTATGAAGCATAGTCGATTAAGGTAAATCGTCTATGAAGCATAGTAGATTAAGGAAATTCTTTAATTTTTTTTTTTTTTTAATTTTTTTTTCTATATCAGGTATATTAATCGACTATGATGAAGCATAGTCGATTAAGAATCTGCTACTAAAAATAACAAATCACAACTGCAAAAAAATGCAAAATCAACTATATTTTACAAAAACAAAAAAAAAATATACAAACATTATAATTGATTTATACAATTGGAATCAATAAACAACAAATCCAAAAAAAATAAAAAAATGGAGTCGATCAACCTTAATCGACTACTAGAGCATACTCGATTAGCTTAATCGACTATGATGAAGCATAGTCGATTAAGAATCTGCTACTAAAAATAACAAATCACAACTGCAAAAAAATGCAAAATCAACTATATTTTACAAAAACAAAAAATATACAAACGTTATAATTGTCGATCAACCTTAATCGACTACCAGAGCATAGTCGATTAGCTTAATCGACTATTGAACATCTACATAGTTGATTTTCTCATGCCTCATCCCCGTAGCCGTCGATCCACTGCGTCCTCGACGGCGAGCGCTAGTCATCAGCTTCAGCGTCGTCGGTGGAAACCACCGCCGCCAACTATTGATCCGTCACCACCCTTCACGCGGTGGCGGGAGGCGGCGGCGAACACTCTTCCACCACCACCGTCGTCGGTCGCCGTCAAACATTCTTCCAGAGTCGCAGTCTGATCTCCTTCTCCGACGACGTCTTGCTTTTCCTCCGAATTTCAGTCGAGAAGAGAAGAGAGAAGAGAGAAGATGAGAATATGAGAAAAGGATAAGAAAGAAACGGCAAATGAAATGGGTTAGGGTTCTGAAACGTGAAAATGGGATTTAATATCAATAAGAGTGGTTTGAGAATTATTAAAATAGCATTTGAGTGGAATATTAACTAAGGGGGTTTTCTCTTGTTTTTTAGAGGGGTGTTTCCTTAACTATATTTCCGGGTTTTTCTCTAATTTTCCCGATTAATAAGTGTTAGTGGTGGGGGAATTTCTCATAAAAACTCCTACTATCCGTTTAATAGTTATAAACATCATGATCAGATGCTAATATTAATTTAACGATCAAAGTCACCCAAGTGATGAAAGTCACATGAGTTGGTAGAGAAATTGATAAATATAT